CGTTGCGCTGTCAGAAATTATGGAGAAGGACTCGGGGCCAGGTCTTCGCCATCGTACGGGTGCTCGTAAGTTTGGGCGAGTTGGGGGCCAAAATCGACGATATTTTCTGCAACATTCCTAATTCGAATGCCTCTGATGACAGCTATCTCCAACACGGTAGAACTGTGCATATCTGCCTTCATTTTTCCCTCTTCAACATGGCTGACTTGTGACATGTCCCATATGGCTCGGTCTGAACTGAGCTTCTTCGCGTTCAGGAGTTCGGATCACTGAGTCGACAGACGCCTGAGTTGAAGGCTTGGATACAAATAGCCCGAGGAGATCATTACTGGTTGCCCTAATTCGTGGATCGGGGACACTAAACGACAGCAGTGCTGCGTCCCCACACTACGCGCGAGCTCTTCAGTATGTCGACCTAACAGCTAATTCAGCCTTGAAACTGACTGATTAGGCGTAACAATACCTCCAAAGAATTACTCAGCTGTATAAATTTTGGTTAATTTGGAACCGTTATCTAAAGGAATCTCACTGAAGTCGACCGTAGACGACGCACGTTGTTCGACCGCTGATTCCTTTATCATGTTAGTTATAATCCAATGGCTTGTGCTCAAGTTGCCCAATAGGTCCCAGTGGTTCAGCCGGTAGGCATGCACCATGTGACAACAGGTTAGCAGTCACTATTTACTGAATGAATGACTACATCTCAAACACCCATCGATGCGCACCCGGTGGTTGTCTTAGAATTTTATTCAGTCGTTCCTGTTTTCCGCTACCTCAACCGTTGTTTTGTAGGACCGAATTGCACTTTGGAGCTCATATTTGTGTGATATTCCGGATCTGAAAGTGTGCGCCGAAACCAGGGGAAACTCACGTTATCTCCTCGTGCCTCAATACGAGATATAGGTGGAAAGTGATTGCGAGTTCTTTTCGCGCCTCTGTACGAGATATAGGTGGAAAGTGATTGCGAGATGTGACTGTGATTGGGCGAGATTTCTCAAGTGCTTAGAGCGCGAATTTACTGACCAGAAGGTCCGTGTTTCGAACCCAACCTCTGCCTCTCGATTTCCCCTGTCTAGGCTTGGGCAACCTGGCAGTATCACAGCCCTCGTGCTTCCTTCGGGTGGCATGGCAGCTAGGCACCGGAAGGGTGCTACAGCTGAACGCTTTCTTTTCTCTTTCAAAACCGAATTGCGAACAAATGACGTGAGGCGACTTAAAAGGCTTAAAACTTGGTCTTCTGAGAGAGCCTCGTCGACACTTTTCAACAAGCTACGAGTCACTTGCATGCAGTATTTGTTCGGTAAGCGATCATTACGGAGTAACGTAGCTATGACACAGTGAAGAATACTGCGAAAAGTTACTCCTAGTATAACGGTTTGCTGCTTTTACCACATTGCTCTACCCTGACCAAAATATATCTCATGTTTCCGGGCGAAAGATGTTCACTGGTTCGTCTGAGGACCGATGAACAACCGCGAGTATCACGTAGGTATATGGTCGACTCCGATTCAGTAGAAGGCTGCGTAACCTCACGGTGGAGAAGTATCGGCGTTGAACATTGATGATGATGAACCTCACGATATCGGCTACGCATGTTTCTTATGTCATAATCAGTAAGTACGTAAGTAAGTACATAGTCACGGATTTCGCTGTCGAAATCTGTTACTCCTGCTCTGCTATTAATCGACGGTGGGCGTAATAAATACAAGGAAACTGTTCGGATGTAATGTGGGGATGCTGCATGTCCACCTTCTACAATCGTAATCTGCCGCTGTCTGCACTATAAACTAGGCATCTGAAGTCCGCTTGCTTAAGAGCATATACGATGAGACATTTGTCAGATACTTCGGTTCACAGGAGCTTCTATATTTGTTACGGATGCGTGTGTATTATACTTAGTAAAAGTTGTGGTAAGTGGATGTTTCTTGTCGCTTCTTCATCACTGTCTGTTCTCTAGGTATCCTGTTCCGAATGACGTAGTTTGTTCCTGTTTGACGCTGGAAACAAGACAGCTTGGCTTAACACCAAGAGTGGGGAACGGCCTTAGGCCAGCCATTTTGCTGAAAGCCTTAGCAAGATCAAGAGCCAGAGTTGCACGGGGTGAAACCATTGCTGCTGCACGAATGCGTCCGCCAACTTGCGGATTTGTGTTATATACCTTTCCATGGACTATAAATCCCCCGCCAACTTTTACCTGGGTGCGGCTTGTGAACGGATCGACTATCTGCCTGCGGACAGCAATCGATATACCGATGCTCATATTCGTTATTTTTTCAGTGTAGCCGTTCGTGCACACACTTGTACACCATGAACGCGTGAGGGGAAGGTTTCCAAACTACTTCCCTGGATTTCTGATCATGCGTGGACGCCGATAGACTGTGCTGACGGGCCTAACATGCACTTGTTCCTCTCTGTAATTCTCGCTATTTGAACTCAAATCCCATGGAAAAACGAAGCTCACCACCGGGGAGAATCTGTTCGCTTACATTGTGCTCATACTCCGATGCATCCTGCAAGTATTAAACATTAAACGACGATAAAAGCTTACTTGGTGACATTCACGAGTGCGAGGTGCTCGCCTTTGGCATGACAGGCACCACCGATTCCTCGGCCACTAAATTTTTGTCTTTCAGCTGTATCACCCCGCCTTCGGCATGACAGGCACCACCGATTCCTAGGCCACAGTGACAGGAACTAAATTTTTGTCTTTCAGCTGTATCACCCTTTCGGTGCCTAACTGCCATGCCACCCGAAGGTTGCACGAGGGTTGGGATACTGCCAGGTTGCCTAGGCCTAGAAGTCAAAGGACAGAGGTCCGGTTCGAACTACGGACCTTCTGGTCAGTGAATCCGCGCTCTAACCACTGGGGCTATCTCGCTCTTGAATTTTTGTCAGCACGACGAAAATAGGCATAAAATCTAACAAATCAGCAGACACGTTTAACAGCATTTCGCGAAGACCGAGACCGCACGAAAAACCAGTGGACGGTGGATTATTTTTGGCCCACTTCGGCTTGTATAGGATCCTGACGGCTGTGAATTCATGTTAGCCCAGTTCAGACCGCAGGTAACCGACGCCAAGCTGGTAGCATGTACGCATGTGGAGGTTGGATTTCGCCTGAGCTCTCTACACGAAGGTCCATTGCGACATTCACGACCCTCAAATAGTTGTCCTGACCACCATCGAGAAGACATATGACGTATCCAGATGTATATCACCTTGATGGTTAGCTCGTGCATCATCGTCAGCTGTACAGTGGTTCTAGCTGCTACAGTTTCGTTCATCGATGATTTGGAGTGGTGTGGTAGATAGCTGCACATTACAGTTAGTAGCTGATACCATTGATGCGTAAACACAGGTGTCTTTCGTGTCTTTCTCTCGAAGATAGAATACCACTGTTCACATTAGTGCCAGAATGCTCTCATGTTGATCTGGAAGCGAAGAACCATTGGCAAAAAAGTCCGTTTATATGGGATCTTCGGATCGAAGGCGTCCTCTTCAAATTTTTATCCCTCGTGAGAAGTCTGTATGCGAATTCTTATGGGCGCGCGTGAGTGTACGGCAAGCTGTCACCTGAGTTCACTTCGTCCAGTGGTTTGCGACAAGGCTACTCTCTCACCTTCCCTCGTCAACTTTGTTATTAATGTGCTGCTTGGAATCCCTCTGCCTGCCTCTGGAATCTCAGTGGTCGAAATTCTCCCGGCAAGTTCCATCGGACATTGAGTACGCCAACAATATTGCTTTCGTTGGTTCAGATCCTTCATGATGCAAATGATTTTAAATAACCTAAAAACTGCCGGACGGTTTGCCATGTGCTTCACACCTGTTAAGTGTAAAGTGCTGTTACAAGACTGAGTGGGATCAAACCTCATGCACGCAGACGAACCAATCGACGTGGTAGATAAGTTTTTCTACGTAGGCAGTTGTTCCTTTGGACTGGATGGAGATGAGCTTACTTCTCGAATCGATTTAATGCTACGTGCATGAGCGTGGCCTTCACTTGTTATCCTGTCACCAGCTAAAACACAAAGTCTTCCGTCTGATTTTGCCCGTTCTCGTGAAAAGGTGATATTCGTGGAACAGTAATGCCGTTGACGAGGCATTTGACGAGGCACGTTCCTCATCACAGAAAGGACAGCGATGCAACGTTAACCATTCTGTTTTACACCCTCCTTTATGGCGCATCCAGCAATTACGTTTTAGCCGCTTTTGAGCCTGTTTGTGAAGTACAAATTAGGATGTCAACACTCTGGGAAACTAAAATTCTTACAGTTGAACGAGCGATTAGCTTCGGTACTTCAGTTTTAATCTCCGTGGATAGAAAGCGTTATGTAGAGACATGGGTTGTCTGACCACACAGTCGCTTATCGGCCTCACGTGCTTCAGTAAACTTACACGGCTGCGTCGGTTAGCCTACGTGTTTACCATAATTTTTACCTTTTAAACGCTTTTTCGTGAACATTCTTATCTCACAATTACACCCAGTATTTTTCTTCCGTTCCTTCGTTGAGGCACTTCCTTATGTTCGCCCAGATTGTTGTGGCATCTGGCATGTCTTCAAAGTGACGTTGTTACTTGCTGATTAGCATGTATTTTCCATCTTTAGTTGAGTTTCGGCTAAATCGTTATTTGTCAACTCTCATCGGCAACCCGCTCCATTTTCTTGATTTTGGTTTTGAAGGTGTTGGCTGTTCTTCAAGTCTTTTCCCTCGTGTCTTAGTCTCATTATTTGTTGATCTTATTGCGGTTTCTCGCGATGAAAGTCTAAAGGACTTATGACGCGCTTCGGTTGTTTTTACACAAATGTGTGTATTTATTCTGTTTACCGATATGGGTGCTCTAGCGTTGGCATTATAAGTCTTGTCCGTTTGCATAAGTCGACTACTGGATAAGCGTTTTGTATGGCGGCTGTTCCTTGTGAAGGGGAATCATTTTAACGGACTTATTTTACTCAAGTTCCAATAGCACATGGACCGCGGCGGTACCTTTAACCGCACAAATCTTTATAGCAGCCTGACTATACGATTTCTTCCACCGAAAGTGACTAGATTGTCTGTCCTTACGATGTTCAAAACTAAATGGCTATATACAGTCCACATCTGTTTTTGTTTTTAGAGAAGCCAGTCCGTTGACAGTGGGAATATTACCGTCCCAGACACAATGGACTGCTTCAGTTTACCAATTGGGCGACCCGGTTGACCTGAAGGACGTATCTTTTTGTACATTTCCGCTATGGCATTCTGTGTTGATCACTGCTTGTGGTGCATTACCAGTAGTTGCAGCCGTTCCGATGGATACTGTGCGGTAGTCGACTGTCCAAACTTTTGTGGGATGCGCATGCACTTGTGTAAAGCCCAGGAGCACACAGAACACATCTGCGCAAACACTGTGGTGGCTTGTCCGAACAGAGAAATCGGGTGTGCCGTTACCGTTCTACGGCGAAAAGTTGCAACTCATCTGAGTGCATGTCAAGCAAGCGTTGTGTCTTGTTTTGTTCCAGGAAACATCCCAGTAAGGTAGGTTTTTTGAGGGTTTAATTGAGATCCATCTTTTCGTTGTCTTACGCTCAGTGTTAGTTTTTAACCTTAACTATGTTAAATAACAGGTTCGGGTAAAAAAACCGTACGACTGATTACGGTCCCTGATTTCACATTCATCTCCCATGTTCGACTGCGAATGCTGTTCTGCCCTCTGTTAGCCTAAAATGATGACCCGTGAGCCAGCAGTACGGGACTGAACTCAAATGACAGACCTTTTCATTAGTCAACTTGCGCCTTAGGCTCCGCGTTGTTTCGTGTCTTCAAGTGAATTTACGGATAAATCATTCGANGGTTCGGGTAAAAAAACCGTACGACTGATTACGGTCCCTGATTTCATCCCGTCAGTTTTCTCATCGAACACGACCAGTTCGTTGTAGAATGCGAAAAAAGGGCTTCATTGTTCACATCATCGGTGACAGAAATAGTCGGATTTGATAAAAAAGCGGTCGGACGATTCTTTGTATTTTATGCCGAAGGCTCCATCTAACCATTTTTTTGGATGTATCCGTAATTCATTTTCTACTTGATATTCCAGTCCTAGATATCCCAAATTTCCGACGAATCAGTTCCAGAACTACGGCGAAATCAGTTTTGTTGGTAGTGTAAGGAGATTTTGTACTTTTCAACTGAGACCTCACCCTGAAAGTGAAGCCGAGGAGCAATGTACAGCAGTTCCGTCCTCATTGGCGGCGTGCATCTCACGAAACTCCAGGAAGTTTCCAACCCTCGACCACCCAGTTAGTGGTTTGAATACTTAACTATTCGGCCACGAGTGGTGGTCACTCGAGACGTTTTCATCTGTATCACTGTTATATGAATTATTTCTCGCCACTTCTGTAGGCCTGCTGAGTGACGGTGTTTATTACACAGTCTCAGCATTTGCTTGCTGCCAAAAAATAATGCGACGAAGTTGATGTAGGAGGAAGTTTTTAATTACGTAATGGGCGGCTTACAGAAGAAAGGTAAATCCATTTTCCGAAGTCCGTTGGAAATGTGATAATCACAACAGACATCTTTGTTGCACTGCGACTACCACCGAAATGGACAGTTGGATGTGAGAATGCAGGAGAAAATCTTTTTAGCGGAAATGTACACCTTGTCGAATGTTAGGTTGTTGTGTTTCCTGCAGATAGCACAGTAGTCACGCCATTCACCTCCTCACGTTCAACTGCGAAAGCTGTTCTGTCCTCCGTTAGCCAAAAATGATGACCCGTGCGCCAGCAGTTCGGGACTGAGCTCCAATGACAGACCTTTTCATTAGTCAGCTTGCACCTTAGGCTCCGCGTAGTTTCATGTCCTCAAGTGAATTTACGGATAAATCATTCGAGACGACAGATCAGTTGTCGGATCTCTAATCGATCGGTTCTCTCTGTAGTGCATGTTTAAGACATACCATACGCTTTTCGTCGTTTCTACAAACACCAGTAGTAGCAATCGGAGGCGCTTGATCACGACGGGGATTTCATACTGTCGTCAGTAATAAACAAGCCATTTGGATAAAATAGACCTATGGATAGCCAGAATAAGCATTTGTTTGATCCTTGCTTGCATACCAAGAAACAGGTTTTCCAAGGAAGTTGGATTTGACAGTCTCTTCAACATTACCATCTGGACCTGTGATAGATCGGGACGAATAGCATTGTTAAATCAAATCCCGACATGTTTTGCGCTTTGTGCTATTTCTCAAGTAGACTTAACCAGTTGGGACGGCGG